CAGGTGTGTGCCACCATGCCCGGCTAATTTTTGTATTTTTAGTAGAGATGGGGTTTCACCATGTTGGGTAGGTTGGTCTTGAACTCCTGACCTCAGATGACCCGCCCACCTTGGCCTCCCAAAGTGTTGAGATTACAGGCATGACCCACCATGCCTGGCCAAAGTTAATACACTTTACTTTTCTTATATTTGAATTTGCTTATGAAACTGTCGAGGTTGTATAACCAAGGACTCACTTTTTTTGTTTTCTAGCAATGAAACAAAACAACAAAACCCTGAAGATATATTCTGAGTCTTTCTCTGTTCTTCCAGAGTCCCAGAACCTAGCACTTAGGGACTAGGACTGTTTCATATTTGGCAGTGGTCGTTCCAGGGGCCCAACTCTTGGCCCCAGCAGGCAAGGTCATTGAATCACCGGCTTGCCAGAGGAGAGATACAAGAGGCCTGAAAAGAGCAGCTTCTGCTAGCAGTTCAACTGGGAAGTATACCCAACAAGCTGGCACTAATTAAGAGGTAATGGCCTTACAATGGAGCATTGCCAAAGGATAAGGACCCTCTGGCTTCGGCATAAATATCAAGGCATTTGGGGCAGAGCCAAGACATATATTTTCAGAGTGCATTAGACACTGCAGCAGCCTTCCTCACCCTGCCTCTGCTAAGAAGAACGAGATTTAAAATAGGTGGGAAAGAAGCTGGATCTTCCAGGACTGCCTTCTGGTCAGCTGTCAGGCAGCCTCAGAGTGATTTTTGGAAAAGACATCACTGTGGTACATATTAGAATCACTTGAAGAGCTTGCTAAAATGTAGATTCTCTCGGCCCCACCCCCAAGATGGTCTGATTTTGGAAGCTCTGGGATAAAACCCAGGAATCTGCATTTTTACTTTATTTTATTTTTGAGGTAGGATCTCACTCTGTCGCCCAGGCTGGAGTGCAGTGGCACGATCTCATTGCAGCCTCCACTTCCCAGGTTCAAGGGATTCTCCAGCTTCAGCCTCCCAAGTACCTGGGACTACGGGTTTGAGCCACCATGCCTGGCCAATTTTTGTATGTTTTGTAGAAACAAGGTTTTGCCATGTCGCCCAGGCTGGTCTCGAACTCCTGAGCTCAAGGGATCCACCTGCCTCTGTTTCCCAAAGTGCTGGGATTCCAGGCATGAGCCACTATGCACAGCATTTTTAAACAGCTCCCCCAGGTGATTCTGATGCTTGTGGTTTTCAGACAACACTTTGAAAAATGCTACTTTAGAAGTTGCTGTTATTTGCCCATTAGCCCCCAATGACAAACTTTTTACAGAATGAAGATAAATGTAAGGTCAGGGCCGGGCACGGTGGTTCATGCCTGTAATCCTAGTGCTTTGGGAGGCCAAGGTGGGTGGATCACCTGAGGTCAGGAGTTCAAGACCAGCCTGGTCAACATGGCAAAACCCCATCTCTACTAAAAATACAAAAATTAGCTGAGTGTCATGGTGGGCACCTGTATTCCTAGCTACTGGGGAGGCTGAGGCAGAAGAATTGCTTGAACCCAGGAAGTGGAAGTTGCAGTGAGCCAAAATCATGCCATTGCACGCCAGCCTAGGCAACAGAACGAGACTCTGTCTCAGGAAAAAAAAAAGGCCGGGCGCAGACGCCTGTAACCCCAGCACTTTGGGAAGCTGAGGCAGGTGGATCACCTGAGGTCGGGAGTTCAAGACCAACCTGACCAACATGGTGAAACCCCATCTCTGCTAAAAATACACAATATTAGCCAGTCATGGTGGCCCAGCTAATCCCACTGGGCACCACTGGATTAGCTGGGCCTATTACTTGCCTGTAATCCCAGCTACTCTGGAGCCTGAGGCAGGAGAATTGCTTGAACCTGGGAGGCGGAGGTTACGGTAAGTCGAAATGGTACCATTGCACTCCTGCCTCTGCAGCAAGAGTGAAACTCCCACTCAAAAAAAAAGTGAGGTCAGGATTCTCTGCCTCCTGTGAAGACACCAGTCCGGAACATGGCATTTCCAGCCAGTCTCCGTTAAGGCGTTCTCATTACCAGGAGCAAGAGTTGAGGGGATGAGGGGCTAACCCCGTGTTTGGAGAAAAACAGAAAGCATCCCATCTGTATGATGTGTACCATGTCCGCGATGCTTTCATATACCATAACTCATATGATCTTATTGCAGTCTTTCTGGGGAGTGAAGTTATTGCATCTGTTTTAAAGCTGAGGAACTGTAGACCTGGAGGTGTGTCTTGCCTCTGCTGATCGGCATGACATCAGAAAAGAGTGAAATAGTCACTGCATTACAATGCGGCAAGCAGGGCAGGCAAACCAAACCGATAACTTAAGCTTGGCCTACCTTGATCAGGCTTTTTATCTGCTGGTAGAGTTGAAGCTGGTTGTCGAGATTGACAATTATTGTAAAAGGATTGATGGGTCAGATTATAAAAATAGATGGAAAGTTTGAATGATAAATGCAAGCAGAGGATGAGAACAGGAGAGAAACAACCCACCATATCATCTGGGAAAATGAAACTCCTTGGCAAGACTTCACAACAGCCTGATCTAAAATTTCATAATGAAATTATGTCTCTGATCAAAGCCTGAATGAGCTCATGGGCTGATTTTTGCCATCCGTGTTTATTCTGGTTTGCACCAACTTGAGGCATCAGAAACACATTAACTGAATCTTCTCTCTGGGAGGAGGCTATCATACCCTTGTTTTGGGGATCAAAGGGACAGGGTGTGGTGGAAGGGGGCATCTTCACTGAGCATGAAGTTTTTTCCCAACTAGCTCTCAGAGCTTCCCTGACACAGGCCAGGGTCAGGGCCTTCCCAGCAGAGTTGCATTTAATTTCATGATCATTGCCCTTGGGGCAATAAAAGTGAAGTTCGAGGGAGAGAAGGTATTTCCAGCTCTTGCCTATGACATGGCCTGCTTTCGCTCTAAAAAGAATGTTTTGGGGTTTGTTTCAAACTCAGAGAAATAAAGGTTCAATCATCCCCTGCTCAATTAGAATACTTCACTTTATAACAAGTTGTTTGTTTTTACAAAATGAGCTACACTGCATGAATCCACCCTTCCTCTTGCCTAACCATCTCTTCTCTGGCCTATCCAGAGGGTACAAAGATAGCCACTTCCTGACAATTTGAGGTACCAAAAAAGAGAGAGGGGTCAGGCAGAATGGCTCATGCTTGTAATCCCAGCACTTTGGGAGGTCAAGGTGGATGGATCGCTTGGGGTCAGGAGTTTGAAACCAGCCTGGACAATGTGGTAAAACCCGGTCTCTACTAAAAATACAAAAATTAGCTGGGCATGGTGCCACATGCCTGTAATCCCAGCTACTGGTGAGGCTGAGGCAGGAGACTTGCTTGAATCCGGGAGGTGGAGGTTGCAGTGAGCTGAGATCATGCCACTACACTCCAGCCTGGGCAGCAGAGTGTGACTCCATTTCAAAAACAAAAAACAAAAAAACGAAAGAGAGAGGGCTTCTTGGTTGAAACATTGGCATCTAGAGACTTTATTTTGGCTAGTAGAAACAGAAATCGATGGGTCCTAATGCCTTCCTTCACCCTCAAGGCAAGAGACATTCCCCATCTACTTATTCTTTCATTTAATGAATTTTTTTTAGTCCTTTGTTTCGGGTGCTGTTCGAGTCTTAAGGACACAGTAATGAATAAATTTACAAGGTCCCTGCTCTCAAGAAGCTTACATTCTAGTTTGGGAAGCAGCCAAGAAAGTTGTAAAAAAAAAAAAAAAATCAGCTAGTGATAAATGCCATGAAATAAAACAGAATACTGTAAAGGAATAACTGTGAAAGGGTGAAAGGTGGCTGATTTAGACAAATTAGACAGGGAAGAGTTCTCCCAGTACTAAGAGTCACCAGATAAAATGCAGGACATACGGTTACATTTGAATTTCAGGCAAATGATGAATACTTTTTTACTAGAAGTATTTTCCAGGCACTGTTGAAAACATACTTTAAAAAAAGTATTCATTTTTTTCTCTGAAATTCAAATTTAATTTGGTGTCCTGTATTTCTATTCGCTAACTCTTGCAAGCCTACTAATAGGTAATATTTGAGCTGAGAATTGAATGACCAGTAACACAAAGATTCTGGGAAAGAGTGATTCAGACAGAGAGTATATCCAGTGTAGGCCAGTGTGGTGGCTCATGCCTGTAATCCCAGCACACTGGGAGGCTGAGGCAGGAAGATCACCTGAGGTTAGGAGTTTGAGACCAGACTGGTCAACATGGTGAAACCCTGTCTCTACTAAAAATACAAAAATAAGCCAGGCGTGGTGGTGGGCACCTGTAATCCCAGCTACTCAGGAAGCTGGGGCATGAGAATGGCTTGAAACCGAGAGGTGGAGGTTGTAGTGAGCCGAGATCATGCGACTGCAATCCAGCCTGGACAACAGGGTGAGACTGCGCGTAAAAAGAGAGAGAGAGAGAGAGAGAGAGAGAGAGAGAGAGAGAGAGAAACAAAAAGAAAAAGAGAGCGAGCGAGCGAGAGAATATCCAGTGCAAATGTCAAAATAACCAGAGGGAGGGAGGTACACATCGAGTCAGATAAATAGGCAGGGGCGAGGGGCTTGATCACAGAATCCTGCAGAGATGGCAACGTTTGACTCAATCTCTGTCTCTGTTTCTCCCTTCTCCCTTCCCCTACCCCTCATTCTAACAGTCATGATAAGCCACTGGAGTTGTAAGGAAGAGGATGACATGTTGTAATGGGTATTTGGCTGCTGAGCGGTCGGCAACTTTTGGAAGGACTTAGAAGACAAATTCAGAAGACAGCTTAAGCTTGTGCCATTGGCCTGGGAAGAGTCTTCTTTATTTGGAGGTGGACCCAACTGGGAGCTCTGTGCCTCGCATCCAGGGTAACTAGGCGGTTGCTATGGAGGGGCAGCTTGGCGGTTGCTAGGGCTGGAAAGGGCTGGGCCTCTGCGCAGGGCGACGCCTAGAGGGCCGGGGCGGGGGCGGAGCCGGGAACACGGTGGCGCACGCCGCGCGTTCACCGGAAGTCGCGCAGAGTCAGAGGGGGGCGCGAGCGGAAGTGACGGAGGTCATTTACGCGTGGGCCGGCGTGGTTCACGCGGGTCACTTCGGCCGGGCCTGGGAAGTTCCAAGTTCGTTTGACCGACGTAAGCCGGACCTAGCTCTCGGGTCCCGATCTCGTCGCCAAGATGGTGAAGCCCAAATACAAAGGACGGAGTACCATCAACCCGTCCAAGGCCAGCACAAACCCGGGTACAGGCGGCAGGGGTGATCGAGGGTGGAGCTTGGAGGGAAGTGTAGGGGAGGGCTCCGAGGAGGACTGGAGGGGCGGGAGGGGCACTTGCTTAAAATGACCACGAGCGGAGTGGCTGTTGGGGATGACAAGGAAAGCACTATTTGTGGTGGTTTCTTCCCGGGGGCCACTGAGGAGGGCTGACATTGCGCGCCTGGCAAGCCAAAGTGTAGTCAACTGGTCTGAAGTCAAGGAAAGTAAACACTCAGGCTTTGGCAGCCTTGGGTCCTCTCCAGTTCAGAGATGCAGAGAAAGTCAGATTTAAAATGGTGTAGGTTGTCCTGTCGGGCCTTTTACACGTGATCATACTTGCCTGCCACCTTAGCTTTGACCTTTAAAATGAGAAAAGGATTGTAGTTTTGGCCCTTGGAATCATTCTATCTGGTAAAGTTCTTAGAGAACGCTACAAAGAAATCAATATAATCATTACAGTAAGGCTGTTTTGGAGATGTGTGTACGTTTTGGCGAGGTTCCACCTGTAGAATTAACAAGATGTCCTGTGGGCGAGTTCCTTCCATTCAGGTTTAGTTAATCAAACTTTCTTTCAGAATATGGTTTAGAATTTTTGACAGTTTTAATGCGTGTTGAATGTTTTCCCTGGATTGATCATAAATTATTCACTTTGCACAAACTGGAATGTCAGGATGTTAGACCCAAAAGAATCATGTTAGAGATCATGATTTTACAGGAAGCGGCTTGTCATAATTGCAACAGTAGTGGTAGAGCCACCAGTCTCTACTGTTAAATCACCTGCCTGGTCCTGAAGTGTTGTAGAAAGCAGGTGTCAGCCTGCCGTCTGCATCACTTCAGGACCAGGCAGGTGATTTAAAGGGCTCCCAAAATGAGAAGCTAGGCTAGTATTACCCTGCTCTTTTGTCCTTCTCTTTCTCTTTGAGATGTGAGGCAAGAATTGCTACGTTGATGAAACAAAAATCAAACATTAGGAAATTAAGAAACTGACCAAGAACACATACATATCAAAATCATAGGCTCCATGGTGCCTTGCGTGGAGCAGGCACTCGATATTTGTTAAACTGAGACACAGAGGTAGGTGTCTTCGTGGTTAAGACCATAAATGCTCGTGTTCAAATTCTGGCTCTGCCATTTAGTAACTGTTTGACCTTGGGCAAGGTGTCTGACCACTGTGACTCAGTCTCTCACTCTTCAGCATGGGGATAATGTATCTCTATGAGATTATTGTATGAATTAAATGAGATGATGCCTATAATGTGGATCTTACAGTGTCATCATAAGTGCTCAAAAATAGTAGCTTTTATTCTTCTCAGGTACAGTCCTATCGAAGATCAAAGATTGGTTCAGCTTTGCCATACCATGTAGCTTCAAGTTATAATTATTGGAACAACATATGGAGAAAATAGAGATTTTTGTGGTTGGTGGCTGCTGACCTGCTTTGAGTGGACTACTTGTTGCGTTTTAAGCAACGACTTGTTGGTTATACTGGTCGGTTATCAGATAGTGCACTGTGTACTTCTGCCTTTTGTAGATCGAGTGCAGGGAGCAGGAGGCCAAAACATGAGGGACCGGGCCACCATCCGGCGCCTGAATATGTATAGGCAAAAGGAGCGCAGGTGAGCATTGGGTGCTATCATCCTTTCCCTTTTCTTTCATGCCCTTGACCGCTAGCTGAGACTGATTAAGCCTTAGCTGTTCTTACTCCCACTTCCGCCAAGTAGGAGTTATCTATTTTGAAATGTCATTTTATATGAATGTTGTTATGATAAATTGTTAATTTTTGCTTAAGGGCGCGATAGCCGGTGTTGAAATAGTAGTTGTTTCACAATACTCAAAAGTAGAGGTCTTGTTTCTCACAGCCCTGGCCTCTGCAAGTGGTGCGTTGAATCTCAGAGTTAAACATGGCCAGATACAATAAAGCCTCTAGGACTATAGTTAGGAAAGCCACCAGAAAACTTGTTTTTTAATGCCAAAATGAAGATCACAACATTGTGGCACTTGAACACTCATCATAACTCTGAGTTCTGCTGACGTAGCCTCTACCACAGGGATTTGCTGAGTGTGGCATTCTGCTAGCTGGTCTTAATTTGTTTGGTAATTAGATTCTCCGTCTCTGTCTGTTCTAAAAGACGGGACTAAAATACAAATGTCAATGAACTTAATATGCATTAGTCACCTCCTTTGCAGTTTGTTTTAGAATTTGGAATTCCAGCATAAATCACCCTCCGTTTAAAAAATTTATTTAAACCAGCCTTCAGATAAATACCCAAAAGACTCAAGTTTGTGGCCTTTTTTTTTTTTTTTTAAGTAAACCAACAGTAAACAGATTTTTTAAAACGTCACCATTATTGTTATTCATCTAGCAGAAATCATTATGTGCTCTGTTGCAAGAGGTTAAATGGCTTTTGGGCAATCTGTTTCAAATGTAGAAGTACTTTGTGTTTACTGGAATCTGTATTTCATGATCATTTAAAACCAAAGTAAGAAGTCCTTTTGTTGGAAAGTATATTCTGCGGATCAAACGTTGTCGTTGCCTTTCTTGTGTTGTCAATCAAAATCTGTTATTTCTTCAATTTAGGAACAGTCGTGGTAAAATCATTAAACCCCTGCAGTATCAATCAACGGTGGCTTCTGGCACAGTGGCAAGAGTAGAGCCAAACATTAAATGGTTTGGTGAGTATTATCCCCTGTTACCTGTACAAAATGTATGCTGAGTGGAAAAGGCTGGGATATTTAAATGTCTAAACGGTAGGAGTTTTTGGTGAGTGGAACTGTCAAGGATTATCTGAGAAAAGGATAAGAAAAAGTACTGGGAAAAGTAGTGGTGGTAGATTTAATAAATAGCTTCTCTTTGAAGAGCACTCACATTAGTGATTATAATTGAATCCTCTTAAGCAGATAAGGCCATCCTTAATGACTAGCATTCACAAATCGTAGAATGCTCATCTTAATCTTTTCTGCTTGCCTGGAGAGATACTGCTCGAGAGGTGGCCTTGCAGGTGTGTTTGTGCATTTAGCCCACAGGGTAAGTGCATTAGCGAGAAGTTCCTCTGAAACGCTTGTTAGTGAGGTTTTTATTTGAACTTGGGTGACAGTGAAAGCGTCTCACTGTTGAACATTCCAAGAGTGAAGAGAGTATCTTCAGTCTCAGGGTGATCACAGCTTCTTGGGAAACTTCCTGTTCCACTTTCGGTCTGGGCTTTTGACTCTGCCCTTAGCCGCTGGTAAATGTATGGGCACTTCAGATGATGAGACTCCGGTATTTGCCTGTCACTCTGTGCTTGGGGCAGATAGCAGCTACCTCTGAGTCTCATACCTTTTGATAGGATACCTCCTAAGAACTGCAGCACAGAAAAGTGTCAACAAAAACTCTACAGAGAAGCATTTAGCATAGCTGCCGGGTACTGTGGCTCCAGATCTAGACTGCCTGGGTTTGAATCCTGGTTCTGTCATTTATGTGCCAGTGGGCAGGTTATTAAGTCTGGCTGTTCATCAGATTTCTCATCTCTAAAATGAGAATAAGATGGAACCTATCTCATAGGACTGTTGTGGTAATCCAGTGAGTAAATACAGGCCAGGTGCAGTTGCTCACACCTGTAATCCCAGCACTTTAGGAGGCTGAGGCGGGTAGATCACTTGAGGTCAGGAGTTCGAGACCAGCTTGGTCAACACGGTGAAACCCCCATCTCTACTAAATGTACAAAAACTAGCCAGGCGTTGTGGTGGGCACCTGTAATCCCAGCTACTTGGGAGGCTGAGGCAGGAGAATCCCTTGAGCCCGGGAGGCAGAGGTTACAGTGAGCTGAGATTGTGCCACTGGCACTCCAGCCTGGGTGACAGAGTGAGACTCTGTCTCAAAAAACAAGAGTAAATACATATAAACTGCTTAGAATTGTGCCTAGCAAATGGTATAGTATACGCATTTCTTGCTGCCGTCATTACCAGCTTGCTGTTTTGCATTCATGCTGCAGCATGCTGTCTAATTGAATGCTTTTCAGGATCTCTCACTTGCAAGCTGTTTTCCAGGTGGTATCGCAGGACTCTGTCTTGTTCCCTTGCATGGATTCATTGGTTAATAGTCCCTTTGAATCTTCATAACCCTAAAAGTGGTAACTGTGACTCAGGTTTTTGTGTTTCAAGATTCTCTGTACTGAGTGATCAGCTCCAAAACTTTCTAAGACCTCTCTTTTTACCTTTTCACCTTTAGTATGAGGTACGGTAGTGTAGTGGATCAAAGCACAGGTTTCGGAGTGATTGGCTCCAAGTTTCTCTGCTGGATCTAGCAGGAAGTAGGACATTTGTCAGATCTCAGTTTCCGTTCCACACTATTTCTCGGTTTCATTTAGTCAGGAAACTGGTCTTGGAAAGCTATTGAAACTCTTTGCGTGTCTGGGTTGGTGGACTAGTTCGTGGTGCGCAAGTGCAGGAGAGGCAGTTCTTTGGTTTTTTCCTCTTTTAAGTTTGAAAACAGCTCTAAGGGATGGATGGATCAGGTACTTGTGTGAGTGAGGGTTATTTAAAATCTTGCCTTTTACCATGTCAGTGGAAGATGGATGTGCAAATATTTGTTAAGTGGAAACATTCTTTATTTGTAAAACAGGAAACACACGTGTGATTAAGCAGTCATCATTACAAAAATTTCAAGAGGAAATGGATACAGTTATGAAGGATCCATACAAAGTTGTCATGAAGCAAAGCAAGTTACCAATGTCTCTTCTCCATGATCGCATCCGGCCTCATGTAAGATGTAGGATATCCCTGGTGATGGAATTTCCTGGGCAAACTCCATGCAGATCTCTCTCTAACATATTTGTCTTGTATTTTTCCTTAGAAAACAACGACTTTAATGTAGCCATGATAACCTTTCTCAGACTTCTCCTTTCACCTTTTCTCCTCTAGTATGAGATGCAGTAGGGTAGTGGGTCAAAGCGCAGGTTTCGGAGTTGAGACCTGAATTTTAATCCTTGCTCTACCCCTTCCTGTGCCTTTAGTTGGGTTTCTGCAGGAACTTTAACTTCTTTGCCTTGAAAGCATAAATAACCCACCTCCTTGGGTGATTGGCTACAGATGAAACATCTGTAAAGCACTTGGTCCATAGTGAGCCCATAACACACCACCTAATAAGAGCTAAATCAGTAACAGCTCTTAGTGATATCATTTACTGTTTATTTTGGTAGGCAGACTTGTTTTAAGTGGTAATTCCATCAAACTTTGGGACAGCATAGAATTAGGATTGAGTTGGTAGAACTTTGGTGTTTCGTACTTTCAGCTTTTGTGAGATCCTTGAGATTTCTCGTCAGCTGAAGGAAGGGGTGCTGGTCACATTGGTTGTCAGTTGCTGAAGTTTGAAGTGCAGTAAGGATTCAATCTGGCTTGAGTGGAAGGAGTTTCACACAGAACAAAGAAAGAGCCTAACGTTTGCCTGCTCGTTTTTACTTGCATTGAATAATAATTCCCAGAAGTGTAGCCAGTACCTAAGCCTCAGTTCCAGTATCAGGAGGGGAGGAAAACATTGACATGCATACATGGATTAAATAGTTCAAAGAAAAGTGTTTACTTGCAGAACAAAATAAAAACCAAGGCCTGGTTTATTGCCTCAGGTTTTGTCAGTGATGTTTTGTTTTATGATGGACTAGAAGAATGGCACCTATTAGTGGAGTGACTGTTTTCTTTCAGGAGAACACATGAGTGTAATTCATGAACCACAGACAAGTTGCTCATTTCCCTTGTTCTCTTTTGTCTATTCTCCCTAAAGCCATCTTTTAAGCAACTATTGAATCGTGTTTATGAGAGGAACAGAGAGGTTCTATTATGGATTTATTGCTTTGTTGCCTGTTCCTGTCAGTGCTTCTAAAACTCAGTGTTTAAATAGCTGGTGTGTAGAATGAAGGGTCTGCAGTGGCAGCAGTCAGCTTCTTTGTTGATGCAAAAAGCTGCTCAGAGTAATTGATGAGGTTTCTGCTTTGGCCTTGAAAAACCGTACCTATTTTATTTTAGTGGGATATCTACTACTTACAAAATCTAAACCTGAGATTATTTTGCACAGTGAGTCAGATCAGATACGCATATTCATCTATATGTGTTTTAGCATTACTGTATTTCTCTAGCAGTACAGTGAGAGTACTGTAACTTTGCCTGTGTACTGTATTATATGCTGGATATTGCTGTGTTATACTTAATGAATGTGTAGGTTTATAGACATAAAGCCTTGTATATGGTACTTGATAGGTTAAGAGGTTTTCAGGGATAATTTTGGTCACACTTGATTTTACCCAGTGACATTAGAACCTATTCCCATGTCAAACGAGCTGCCTCTGTTTGGGGATGCTCCTGGGTAGAAGATAGTGACTAAAAATAAACGGAGTTGTGGGTTAGAGCATCTGAGAAAATGATAATAGTTTAAGGATCTTTAGAAGTTGGAAGAGGAGATCTGTTAAAGTTCAGAAACGGTGGGGGTTGCTCCATCATCCTCACAGCTTTTGATAGTGGTAGTTATGGAGGAGCCTGTACTAGAGGGAAAAGGGTGATTTTTTTTTTTTTTTTTTTTTTTTTTTTTAGAATATTCTCTGCCAGCTGTTAACATTCTGTTATGTGATAGATCCTAAGTCAAACTTTCACTTTTATCTTGCTTCAAAAATTCCTATGCCTGTAACTCCTTTACTGGCACATCAAGTTCTAGTTAGTATCAGGTTCCTTTTATCACATCTAAACTATTATTTTGGACTTTCGCTAGATGTTTTTCATCTGAAGACTTGCCATGTGCATTTAATAAAAACGTTACCTAAATTAGGGAGAATGTTATCTGAAACTAAAATGCATCTTACAAAACAAGCAATTCCTTTTAGCCATGAAAGAAATTAACTTCCAAGAAAAAGTTGGCGTTTGCAGTTGGTTTAAAAAAAAACACACACACACACACGTAAATTTGAGTATGATTGTCCTTGACAAAATCTATGAATTTGGCAAATTTTATGCACTTGTTTAAAGCTCAAAAAAAATGGCAGAGAAGATAAGTTAATTTTCATCACTGTAGCCCTAATTACATTTGACTAAAGTTTATGATAAATGAAGTAAAGCAGATTGTTCGGCAGGGTTTTGCACAATTATTCATATTTACTTTGATTATTTGTATTACTTTTGTATTTCTCCAAGGAAGCTTACAGAACTTTAAAATAAGGGAACCAGTGTTTGTGCCATTTCAACAAGTATTTCTGATTTGAAACCAGAATGAATCCATGTTCTTGTAGGTTTTGGTATGGGTTGAACTTTGGAAAAATAAAATCAGAAAGTCTCTCGTAGATGGGTGTTTTTCTTTTTGCTTTTCCTCAGTGCTTTCCTTAGTTTTACCTGTAATTCTCCTTTCTCTTCAGAACTTGAAGGTGCACATTCTTGATACTGAAAGTTTTGAGAGTACATTTGGCCCTAAGTCACAGAGGAAGCGACCAAACTTATTTACAAGTGATATGCAGTCTCTTATAGAAAATGCTGAGATGTCCACTGAGAGCTATGACCAGGGCAAGGATCGTGATTTGGTAACTGAAGATACTGGTGTAAGGTACAGGGTTTTTTTTGTCTTTTGTTTGTTTGTTTTGGAGATGGAGTCTCGCTTTGTCATCCAGGCTAAAATGCAGTGGCACGATCTCAGCTCACTGCAACCTCTGCCTCCCAGGTACAAGCAGTTCTCCTGCCTCAGCCTCCCGAATAGCTGGGGCTACAGGTGCATGCTGCCACGCTCGGCTAATTTTTTGTATTTTAGTAGAGACAGGGTTTCACCATTTTGCCAGGCTGGTCTCCAACTCCTCAGCCCAGGCAGTCCACCTCCCTCAGCCTCAAAGTGCTCGGATTACAGGTGTGAGCCACTGCACCCGGCCGAGGTACGGTTTTGGAATTCCTGCAAGTCTCATCATTTGCTCTTCTGCAACAAAATTTTTCTTTAAACTTACTCTACCTGTGCAGAGCTCGGTGCTTTAACTCATACGGAGTTATCCTCTTCCCGCAGACTGGAGACGTTGGTGAAATTGGGGCTAGACTGAAAATGTTTAAGGTGGCTTGATTGAGAAAGGTCTTTCTTCATCCCCCAAATAACGTTTTCGTCATTTATAATAGTAATACACATGTTGTAGACAAATTAGGAAATATAGTTAAGTCGGAAAATGCAACAAAAAGAACATAACTCATAATCCCATTGCAGATATCAAGCATTATTAATGCCTCAATGAGTATCGGGGCTTCCTTAACTGGAGGTCTCTGAGTTCATGGATGGCCTTTGAGGTTTCTCTGACTCTTCTGAAGAAAACATGGAAAATGTATGAGCATAAATAAAGGCCATAGGGTTTTGTCTTTTTTTTTTTTTTTTTTTTTTGAGGCGGAGTCTTGCTCTGTTACCCAGGCTGGAATGCAGTGGCATGATCTTGGCTCACTGCAACCTCCACCTCCTGGCTTCAAGCAATTCTCCTGCCTCAGCCTCCTGAGTAGCTAGGATTACAGGCACACACCATGATGCCCGGCTAGTATTTGTATTTTTAGTGGAGATGGGGTTTCACCATGTTGGCCAAGCTGGCCTCAAACTCCTGACCTCGTGATCCGCCCGCCTTGGCCTCCCAAAGTGCTGGGACTACAGGCATGAGCCACCGAGCCTGGCCAGTTTTGTCTTTTTTGGGTTTTTTTTTTTTTGGCGGAGGGAGGAGGAAGAGAGGAAGAATCTATAACTTCCATCATATTCTCATAGGGATCCATACTCAAAAGAATCAGGCACTAGCTGGGTGCAGTGGCTCACCTGTAATACTAGTGTTTTGGGAGGCCGAGGCATGAGGATCACTTGAGCACAGGAGTTTGAGACTAGCCTGGGCAACATAGCGAGACCTTGTCTCTATAAAAAAATAAATAAATTGGCTAGGCGTAGTGATGTGTACCTGTAGTCCCAGCTACTCAGCAGGCTGAGGTGGGAAGATCATTGGAGCCCAGGAATTTGAGGCTGCAGTGAGCTGTGATTATTAGGAATATATTCCTATGTCGGTACATAATCGACAACCATATAATATTTATTTCAGAATAATATTAGGTTTGTTATGGCCAGTCTCATTGTTGGACATCTATGCTGTGTTTAGTTTTTCCTTATGGTGAGCAACACAAGGATGAAACATCAATGTGACCAAATCTTTTTCATCCTTAATTGTTCCCCAAAGATATATTCTTACGGAGCAAATCGTGATGTCAAAAGGTATGCATGCTTTTTGATAGGCGGCTGCCGCGTTGCTCTTGAGAAAGGGTTGAATTTTGTTTCTCTTGGGCAGGGCCAGAGAGCTCCCATTCTCTGTCCGCCTCGTGTCTTTTAAATGAAGTGGCGGTTTTGCTGTCTTAGTGAAGAGGCATTGTCCTCTGACTGCATCAGTGTTACTATCCATTGCTGTTGTCAGCCCATCCTCAAGCCTTGGGCCGTCTAGAGATAATGTCAGGCCATTTAAGGCCAAGCAAAAAGAGGCAGTGAGTGCATTTATTTATTCTTAGAATTATTTGAACTTTCATTGGCTTTGTATTCTGCTGATTTGAATTTTTCCTCCCCCAAAAGGTATAGTAGGTAATGCAGTAAAAATGAAACCATTTTTGATGGACATTTGGATACAGTCACTTTTAAAATTCGATTTGTTTCCTGTTCATCTCCAGCCGGGTTTGATACTCTTTCTTTTGGTACATTGACTTTGTCCTAAAGAGTCCTTTTAGTCTTGATGGTGCTTCAGTTGCTCATTTGGGGTGCTTTCTTACTTAGAAATGAAGCTCAAGAAGAGATCTATAAAAAGGGACAGTCCAAGAGAATATGGGGTGAACTCTACAAGGTAAGAAGACTCCTAAATTCTCTCCCATGGAGTGGTTCCTTTGGCTTTCATAATTTTGTAGAAGGAAACTGACTTTCATATATTGAAGCTCTGCTGCCCAGAGTACAGGCACCACTGCCTGTTCCATCCTCTTCCTCGTGCAAAGAAACTAGGAAGACGTACTACCATTGTGCTAGGTAACTGCATCTTTAAAGGTACTTGTATGAGAGTAACAGCTATCTTTTATACACTCATATATTTATTACCTGTCTATTTTTTTAGATTTCCTGCCAAATCTAAAGTCCTGTTTAGATTTATCATGCCCAGTTAGAGTCATACGCAACGTTTTAAGTTATTTAGTCCACCCGTCTCCTTTTATAGATGAGGACTCCTGTCTAGAAAGGTTTGATGCGGTACCTAGCTAAGTTAGCTTGTTAGTGAAGGAGGCTTTATGTATCTTGATTTCTGATCCAGTGCCCTTTAGCTGGCAGGGGTTTATGTCCATGCACTAATAATCATCTTCAGAGGAAAGGTTTTCAAGCATAATCATGTAATTAAATAATAACATAATAGGAAACTAGTACCATGAAGGCAAACCAAACTTTTTAGTTTTTTTGTGAAATACACAAAACCTATAATATTACAAACTTAAAGAAGTCCTAAGAAGTAAATGATTTAGTTCAATAATCTATAGTAGTTAGGAAATGTTGAGTCTCATCTAAGCCAGTTTTCGTGTTTGAAATTCAACAGGTTTCAAAAACTACAGGATGGAAGACCTTTTGAGTTCTGATCACTGGGTATTGAGATTACCTACAACCAACTCTACCCAGAGATTGTTTTGAAGTTGTCTCTAAATATGATTGTTTTATTTTCCCCAGACTCCTTTAAATGTCATCCCTCTTATATTTGTACCGTGCCAAACCATTTTTGCCTCTCTGAATTTTCAGGTGATAGATTCATCAGATGTTGTAGTTCAAGTTCTTGATGCGAGAGATCCAATGGGTACTCGTTCCCCTCACATTGAAACTTACCTGAGGAAGGAAAAACCTTGGAAACACCTCATTTTTGTGCTTAACAAATGTGACCTTGTTCCAACCTGGGCAACAGTAAGTACAGCTACCAAACCAGAACAGACTATTAAGATACCTGTTAATGAGTCCATTTTAGGGTTTTTAGGATAAACTGTTGCACTGCTGAGAATGTAGTAATGGGAGTGCCCTTGGTGGAAACAACACAATAGTGTGCTCATTGATGGTGGGCAGAGGCACCATCTGTCCTCTGTAGGACAGCGCAGCACCCTTACTGACTGGATGAGCGACTGTGTGCCATCGTGAGGAGAGAGCTGCAGCTGCAGGACTGCCTGCTTCACATTATGCTCCTTTAATTGCATTTAGTAACAATGAAGACATTTTTTGGAATATTGTTTTCTATTTGTAAGACAGAAGATGGGAGATTGGGCGCGGTGGCTCAAGCCTGTAATCCCAGCACTTTGGGAAGCCAAGGCAGGTGGATCACGAGGTCAAGAGATCGAGATCATCCTGGTCAACATGGTGAAACCCCATCTCTACTAAAAATACAAAAAAAATTAGCTGGGCATGGTGGCACGTGCCTGTAATCCCAGCTACTCAGGAGGCTGAGGCAGGAGAATTGCCTGAACCCAGGAGGCGGAGGTTGCAGTGAGCCGAGATTGTGCCATTACACTCCAGCCTGGGTAACAAGAGTGAAACTCCGTCTCAAAAAAAAAAGGAAATGGGGCCGGGTGCGGTGGCTCACACCTGTAATCCCAGCACTGGGAGGCCGAGGCGGGTGGATCACCTGAGGTTGGGAGTTCGAGACCAACCTGACCAATATGGTGAAACCCCATCTAAAAAAAAAGAAGACAGAAGACAAAGCACCAACCTGACCAATACGGTGAAACCCCATCTAAAAAAAAAGAAGACAGAAGACAAAGCATTCGCTATCATACTTGGAAAAAAACATTTCAAAGAATTATAGCTAACATTTTCCTTAGAAAAGAGTATATTTGAAACAGTTCTGTAATTCGAGCTCTGATTCTTCCCCGTAACGTAAATAAATGAAGTGCAGTCTACCAGCATGTTTTCATCTCTCCCTTTAGAAACGGTGGGTTGCCGTCCTCTCCCAGGATTATCCAACACTTGCTTTCCATGCAAGCCTTACTAACCCGTTTGGCAAGGGAGCCTTCATTCAGCTTCTGCGGCAGTTTGGAAAGGTATCGAGCCCTGATTTGTTCCTCCTGGAGTTGCGTAGCTGTGAGTTGGTGTAAGAACCTGTCTTCTGGTCTAAGAATCTGCCGTGACATAGCAGACAGTTACCAAATTCTTAGCCGGACGTGGTTATGCAGGTCTGTAGTCCTAGATACTCAGGACGATGAGGAAGGAGGATTGCTTGAGCCCAGGAGATCAAGGCTACAGTGAGCTATGATGGCATCACTGCACGTCAGCCTGGGTGACGGAGCAAAACCCTGTTTCTAAAAAAAAAAGGTGTAAAAACTTGCAGAGACGTAAAAACTCAGAGAGACTCAGAAGGGATTCTGAAGTGTTATCTTTGGTCAGTCTTTGCACCGTGTCCCTGACCATTGTTGCTTCCCTTTCTGCCACAGCCCTGGCACCTGACGTTCCACCCTCTGCTGGGCTTTCCAGGCCTGCAGTGCTTCTCTTGCCCATGGGGCCCATGCAGCTTCTGGCTCTGCTGGTTGGAGAGGGCCCTGCCAAAATTCAAGCTTCAGGTCCCTGGTCAGATGTTAGCTCCTGAGGGAAACCCTGGGACCAGACTACCCTATCAAATATTCTCAAAGCTTCATGCTCTGTACCCGTCATTTTGAATTTGTATATTTAGTTCATTCTACCTGGCTTCTAACAAAAGACATGTCTGCTGTCCCACCCTTCCCCACTTTACAGAAGCAAGTGCTTCCGATCATTAGCCATTAGTTCTGTTATTTTCCTCCATATTTTTAGTACATGCTTATGATTTTATTTTCTTGATCTGTCCCTACCCCCCACCCCCAGTTTGAGATGCTTATTAATTTCCAACTATGGAAAATGAGGATGTGCTTCCTTATAGCCATCCTTCCTCCACATGTACTTCCCCCTTTACTTTCCCTGTATTGTTAGACGGCAGTGTTGGGTTATAGTATTATACATTCAGTGTTAGTTGGTGGTGGTGGTTTTAATATGGGAAGAGCTTTATTTCTCATACAGGGTTGCAGCCTGCAGGGTGGCTACTCTAACAGGCTGGGAAGAGTAACCTCGGCCATTCAGTGTATACATTGTCTTGACTGTAACATATTAGTCACAGCTGACCCACATAGTGTGCTGTGAGTATAATTCCTTTCTGATCAGAGCTTTTCTTTTCGCTGGCGTTACTTTGCTCTGTTGTATTTGTATCTATCACTGTCATTCTACCGACTTCTCTGCTACATGGGCACTTGCAGCCCTTCCAGGCACCGCCGATAGTTCCCTTGAGTGGCCAGCACTCCGTCCTCAGGACTGGCCACTCTGCTGCAGCAGCGTCTTTCTGAGACTTCCTTTCACTGTCATCCTGAGAGTTTCCCTGGCTGTTTTCCTGTATGGGACCTCTTGTTTATAGGACCTTTTTCTTTCCTGGTTTACTCCTTCCTTTTGATGGGACATATTTTCTGAAAGTTCCCTGCGAAGGAATACATGAAGAGAACATTTTCGAGACATGCCTTGCGTCTTGAAAATATCTTTATTTTACCCTCATGCTGTTTTTCCCAAGAAACTTGAAGACACCACTGTGCTGTTTTCTGACTTCTGAGGAATCTGAGACCATTCTGACCCCTCATACTTTGTGTGGCTGTGATTTCTTTTTTTGAGACAGGGTCTTGCTCTGTCACCCAGGCTGGAGTGCAGTGGTACAACCATAGCTCACTGTAACCTCAAACTCCTAGGCCCAGGCGATCCTCCTGCCTCATTTTGGCCTCCTGAAGTGCTAGGTTCATAGGTGTGTGCCACCACGCCCGGCCAATCGTTTCCCATTCTAACATTTAAAATTTCTCTTGTTCTAAAATTTCACAGTGATGTGTCTTGAAGTGGGCCTTTTATTGCTCAGTGAGCTCGCCTTTTGATGAGACTTTAGTCTGATATTGTCTTACATTATTTCTTTGAAATTTTCTTTCCTGCCTCAGTTGTCTGTATTCTTGTTCAGAAATTTAATTTTACCTCCTGGTTTAATTCTTGAATTTTCTTTCTTTTGGTACATATATGACATTTTCGTCTATTTTCTGGGCACTTTTCCTTGTTTTGATCATCCAGCTGCCCTTTCACAAAATTTATTTTGCCAGTCACTTTTAATATTTAATTTCTGAGAGCTCTTGTTGAATTCTGATTTGCTCTGCTTCCTTTTACGTCTCATTTCACAGTCACAGTGTCTTCTCTGTCTCTGAGAACATAAATGATGTTTTGAAATTTTTCCTGTCTACATTGATTCTGTTACCTTCAAATTTTTCTTTTTCTGTCTTTTCTACTAGAATCACACTTAAAAATTTTTTCTTTTACTTGAAAAAAATTTTTGAGACAGGGTCTTGTTCTATCTTAACCCAGGCTGAAGTGCAGTGGTGCAATCATAGCTCACTGCAGCCTCAACCCCCAAGTAGAGTCACGTTTAAATGTTTGGTTATTCTTGGTTCTCTATTTATGTTTAAGAGTAAGGCATTAGGGCAAGTACAGTGGCTTATGCCTGTAATCCCAGCGCTTTGGGAGGACGAGGTAGGCAGATTGCTTGAGCTCAGGACTTCTAGACTAGCCTGGGCAATGTGGCAAAACTCCATCTGTACAAAAAATAGAAAAAAATTAGCAAGGCATGGTGGTGCACAACTGTGGTTCCAGCTACCCAGGAGGCTGATGCAGGAGGATTGCTTGAGCCCAGGAGGCAGAGGTGGCAGAGAGCTTTTCTGAAAACGCTGTTTCAAAAAAAAAAAAAAAAAAGTAAGGCATTAAAAAGCTGATAGGTTATTTTTTTTCTTCTTCTTCATGGAATGGCCTTCTTGACTGATAGACTTCATTGTAGGATAATTGGATAGGGACCCAAATTTAATTTAATTTTTTTTTTTTTTTTTTTTTTTGAGACAGAGTCTCACTCTGTTGCTCAGGCAGGTGCCTGTAATCCCAGCTACTCTGGAGGCTGAGGCAGGAGAATCGCTTGAACCTGAGAGTTGGAGGTTGCTGTGAGCCAAGATGGCACCATTGCACTCCAGCCTGGGTGACACAACAAGACTCGTCTTAAAAAAAAAAAAAAGGGCCACTGCGCCTGACCTTCTTTTGTTTTTTGACCTACATACGTTTAACCTTAACAAATACAAGGATAATTTCACATGCAGACTGAGGAAATGACTCACCTCTGATTTATTAATAAGCGTATGTATACAGCTCACACGGATTATGTAGGTGGTGTGTGTGTAGGCTTCAAATCGAGTTGTATCAACAGTGTTGCACTGTATTCTTCCTATCAACAAAGTAATACAAACTGCTTGTCCAAAGGGATATATATGTGACTGCATGTATGTGCTGTGTATTCTCTCTTTGAACAGTTGCACACTGACAAGAAACAGATCAGTGTTGGGTTCATTGGCTATCCAAATGTTGGCAAGAGCTCTGTGATAAACACATTGCGTTCTAAGAAAGTTTGCAACGTGGCTCCCATTGCAGGCGAAACAAAGGTACGCTTGGTGCAAGGTGATCTTACCTCTGCATATTTTATTTTCATAGAGGGTGATCATTTAAGACTTGTTGATATCTCTCTGCTTCTCTTGAATGCAGACCACCATTAGGAGTTCAGCTCCCCATGTAATAGTTTAGAACGTATCAGAATTGTTTCTGCCCTCTTTGATTATTAGACTAAGAGTACTTTGTATGCTACCGTGCGGCTTTGGCATGAGTTGGTTAATGCAATTCATACTTAGGTCTGTTTTAAATTGTCACTCTAGCCTTTTACTCTGATAAACAAAACTAACCCAAGAATATTTGATGCATGGGTTAAGAAGCTTCAACCTTCAGGTAGGTTCTGAGAGTTGGGAGTCGTATCCTAGAACACAGAGTGTTTGGGGAACAGCATGGTTTTGCTTATAGGCAATGAGGCCAAGCAGTACTAAGCTCTCAAGAGTATTTTTGAAACTCAGAGAAATGTTCACTGGGTATAATTGCACAATACAGGATGGAAATCCTGTCTCTGCTTTATTTTTAGACTCTTAGCTGATGGAAGCTATAGTTTACACTTAGTAGAAGTATCTTGTGCATGGCACAGAGGACAGAGTTAGTAGCTTAATTACTCAGCAGGTTGCTTTCCTTTGACTCACCCCTTCCTCCTTTCCAGCTTCATACATTAGTGTCAGGGGTTTGTGAAATTAGACTCTTTTAAGTATTTGATGCAGGACATCTCTGACTTTTTTCTGACTTCAGGTCTGGCAGTATATTACTTTGATGCGTCGGATATTCTTGATTGACTGTCCAGGTGTGGTTTACCCCTCTGAGGACTCCGAGACAGACATTGTGCTAAAAGGAGTTGTGAGTATTTGGCCCTGATAGGCTGTTTGTGTCTGCGGGGGAGTATTCTATAGGGAACCCTGGATACTTTTCGTTTTTACTCAAGAAGGCAGTTCAGGTTCAGCCCATCTGACCAAACTTTGGGAACATGATGCTGAACAGGGCAGCCTCTCAGCATAAGCTGTTTGAGGAGTTAGTGGAACCATGGGCATATCTGGTCAATATCATCCCACAAAAGAGTTTGTAGTTTACACACAGGATCCAAAGGGAAGCAGAGCCTGTTTATGCTTAGTGATAATTCATCTTCGTGGGTTTATGGGTTGAGTCATTTTGGAACCCAGTCATTTCCTCACTTGTTTCTGAATACGACCAAAAACTGTAAATGGTTCCACTTAACCTTGACCATGTTTCTGGCTATACACATCCTGCGCACATCCTTACCTTCCTTTCTTAAACTGTTCCATTCTTTTTGTGTCCTGGGATTGGCAGACTTTTAACCGTTTCTGCAAGTGAGTAACAGGAAGCATTCCAAGTTTAAACTGCTTGTGGCAGCCACAAGCAGTTAGTTTGTGGTGAGTGGGGATTAAAGCTGAGTTCTGGGCTCCATGGCTGTGGTCAGCTTACAGTGGTGCTCCTTGCAGCCGACCATGTCTAGCCACCTTAGAGACAGGCTCCTGCCAGGCTCCACTAGCTTTGTGGTGTTGAAATCTAATTTCAAATAGTGCTGCAAAGAACACTGGGAACTTCACTGCTTCCACAACAAAGTTTGTAATAGGGAGATTTCCTGTTAACATTTAGGTTCAAGTGGAAAAAATTAAGACTCCTGAAGACCACATTGGTGCTGTACTTGAACGCGCAAAGCCAGAATATATCAGCAAAACATACAAGATTGATTCTTGGGAGAATGCTGAGGACTTTCTTGAGAAGCTCGCTTTCCGGACTGGGAAGTTACTAAAGGTGAGCCAGAGTTTGTGAGAATTTAGACTGATACTTATTGCAGGCATGTATGTGTATGATACGGGCCCTTTTTTGGTATGCCTATATGAGCAGTGTGAAACTTGTCACCTAAGTGATGATGAACCCCTGGGACAACTGAAATACCCCCAAAGTGATAGGTGGTTTTGGTCCTTTGAATTTAATTGGGAATCTTTGTGTGGCCTTTCAGGGTGGAGAGCCCGACTTGCAGACTGTGGGTAAGATGGTCCTCAATGACTGGCAGAGGGGCCGGATTCCTTTCTTTGTCAAGCCACCCAATGCAGAGCCACCTGTGGCCCCCCAGGTACAGGTAAGAGCAGGGTGGGCCCACCTCTGGGGAGCATGGGTCCTGACTTCGACTTGGTATAGCTTTTGATTGCCTCTCTTCATAGAGCACGTTTTCATTCAGCTGCAGTCTCTCATTTTATTTATTTATTTTAACATATAAAAATATTTTTGGGGCTTGGCACGGTGGCTTGCACCTATAATCGCAGCACTTTGGGAGGCTGAGGTGGGTGGATCACAAGGTCAGGAGTTCAAGACCAGCCTGGTCAATATGGTGAACTCTTGTCTCTACTAAAAATACAAAAATTAACTGGGCATGGTGACACATGCCTGTAGTCCCAGCTACTCGGGAGGCTGAGGCAGAAGAATCGCTTGAATCCAGGAAATAGAGGTTGCAGTGAGCCGAGATCATGCCATTTTGCACTCTAGCCTGGACAACAGAGGGAGGAGAGTCAGTCTAAAAAAAAAAAAAATACATATATATATATATATATATATATATATATATACACACACACACACACACACACACACACACACACACACATATGTATATTTTGGTGAAGCACTGTTGTGAGGCACTGCTGGCCCACAGCGATCACTCCACCCCTTCTCCTTCTAGACTGCTAGTGCCATGGCCTTTGTTGGGAGTGCATTTGGAGACCAATAAATAGACGTATAAGAGAAGACCAAGCTTAGATACTAGTCTTTAGGGCCTTGGAAAAAGAGGGCCCATTAAATATAAGTGATCTTCTGGTACCTGTACCTTTTCTTCTGCTTAAGAAACAGAATCATTGCTAAGATTAATTTGTTTAACAAATGTTTATTAGCATCGCCTATGGGCCAGGCACAGGGAATATAGGAACGAAAAACAGCCATTACCCTCAAAAAGCCTGTGATCCAGTGGAAAAGGAGAGTGGTACTATTGATAGTTGGAGAAGGAAGTCTGAAGGCTGGAGCCAGCAGCGTTCCTGCGGTCCCCGTTTCCCTCACTCTGGCAGTGGACCACCGCAAGACTTAACATTAATCTTTTGCCTTTCTAGTTCTAGGGCCCTTTTCTGAACCCAGCCAAGTCTCTTGAAGTGGTGGCTTCTAATTTGGCATCTATGCTAGTGTCATTGGGTCCATACAGTTCTGGTTTCCTCTTAGCTGACTCCCTTCCAAGTTGCAGTTGCAGCGAGGTATTCCCGGTTGACTGTATTCTGCAGCATTTGAAAGTTAGCCTAAAACTGATGTTAATTGACTTTCTCCCTTCTCCCTGCCCAAACCATCAAACAACCCAACAAAAGTTTCTCTCCCTCTTCACGTGTATTGCCTCATTCATTCATTCATGGATACATTCACTCAGCAATCCCACATTGAGCGTCTCCTATGGGCCAGGGACTCTTCTGTGTACTGGAGGTGCTGTGGTGAGAAGCTAACAAGCTGCTGCTCTCCTGCACATATATTCCAGCAGGGGAGTGTGTGGTTTCTTCTGACACCAAATACATACTGTTTTTCTATCCCAGTTCTGCAGTTCTCTGATACCAGCTGAGTGTCCCAACAATTCAATTCAGTTCTGACACTAACTCCCAGAGTTAGCACAGACCCCACAGGTTAAGGGCTCAGTCCCATAAGACTGCACCTGCTTCAGATGCCAGCTGCAGGCTGTCCAGACTTATGCCCGGCTGACGACAAATTCAGGGGTTCTGGAGTTTGATAATTTGCCAGAAGGACTCCCGGAACTCAGGAAGGTGCTGTGTGTACAATGTCAGGTTTATTATAGATGGTGAAACTCAGTAACAGCTAATGGAAGAGGTGCCCAGGATAAGGCATAGGGAAGAGGCACAGAGCTGCCATGCCCTCCCAGCACATTGATGTGTTCAGCAACCCAGAGCTTACCCAACCCCATCATTACATAGACATGACTGATGAAATCTGTGGCAGTTGGTGATAGGCTCAATTCCAGTCTCCCATCTCTCCTCTGAGCGGCCGAAAGCACCAACCACATGGTCAAGTGCTTGGTCTTCCTGTGACCAGCACGTCTCCATCCTGAAGGTATCTAGGGCTCCACCATGAGTCACCACAGTAGCATAAACTCAGGTGTGGTGGAAAGGGGCTTGTGACCAGTAACAAAAGATACCCATTGCTCAGGAAATTCCAAGGGCCTTGGGAGCTCTGTGCCAGGAATTGTGATATTTATATCATAGGGAGACAGTAAGCAGATGAATATATAATGTCAGGAAGTCTTGTGTGCTGTGAGGAAAACCCAGGCTACGGGGTTTGAGGGAGACGAGGAGTGCTTTGTGTGGGGTGGACAGGGAAGGCCTCTGAGGCAGTGGCACTTAGCAGAGTCCTTAACATGAGACGGGAGCCATGCGAGTTTCTAGGGAGAATGTTCCAGGCAAGGTCACTGTGGCTTGGGCCAGGGGAGGGTGGTATGGTGGGAAGCCATTGGAGGGTTTTGAGTTAGCAGCTGGATTCTAGGATCATTCTGGATATCCGTATCACTGTTCTCTGGGGACCCTGTGTGGAAACATTGGCATGTTCAGCCAGTGTTTATCTTCAGCCCTTCCTCCATATCTAGTCATTAAGTATAGATAAGTAGTTCAGGTACCCCCTTTTTATTTTTTTTTTAGACAGAGTCTTGCTCTCTTGCCCTGGCCGGAGTGCAGTGGCATGATCTCGGCTCACTGCAACTTCCGCCTCCCAGGTTCAAGTAATCCTCCTGCCTTAGCCTCCCAAGTAGCTGGGATTACAGGCACGTGCCACCATGCCCGGCTAATTTTTTGTATTTTTAGTAGAGATGGGGTTTCGCTACGTTGGCCAGACTGGTCTCGAACTCCTGACCTCAGGTGAGCCACCCGCCTCGGCCTCCCAAAGTGCTGGGATTACAAGCGTGAGCCACCACGCCCTGCCAATTCTTAAGAACTATTGTAACCATGATAGATTGGTTGCCCAATGCACACAGCAAGTCAATACGCTGAGACACCACCAGGTTGCAGCAGAGAAAGAGGTTTAATCATAGGGTCACCAGAGGAGGAGATGGGAGGAATCATGAAGTCCATCTCCATGAGGAGTTGGGGGTTAGGGTTTTCAAAGGGTTTTGGAGTGGGCTGGAGTGAGAATTGTTGACTGGATGAAGAGTGTAGGGTGAAGTCACGGGGACAGGGAGATGAGGAAGTTGTGTTCTCATGCAGATCCCATTTCTCTGGGGATCTTCAAACTGGTTGCTAGAATTAGGGATCTGAAAAAACACTTTAAGCAATCTTTAAACAAAAACCTTATGGTTCTAATGTCAGATACCTTGTCTATAGGAACAATGGGGGTGCACATCGATTCTTACGCAGTCTTACGACCTGAATGTCAGAAATCCTGCCTGTAGGGACAGTGGGGATGCAAATGGGCAGCACCTAGTGTTCGGGACTTTTAGCAACAAGGAAATAGGCCAGAGTGCCCCCTAATTAGTGCTTCATTATAATTGTATTCTGTCCAGAACTCAGCAGGTAGTCCTTGCCAGTCCTGTGGAGGCATTTTCACTACTGTGTGCCTTACTCTGTGATTCTGTTTTTCCTTTTTTGTTGAGGGGAGAAACCCCTTCAGAAACTGAAAGCCAAAAATTGCCCTTCCTAGAAAAATGTAAGTTCAAATTTTGTATGTGGTTTCCTGGATTTTATAGGTCCGTATTTATTTAGTGGTTTTCCCGGCCACTCTTGCCTTTGAAAATCACTTTAAATTCTGTGAGTTCCTGTTGCAAGGATAAAATATTATACATGTGAAACACCAGTGGAAAGCTTGGCACATACTTATCTTTGCAGTCACCTAAAACAGGCCAGTCATTTCAGGGTCCCCAGACTTAGTGCTCGTTATGAACTCTCATCACTCACAGAATGCCCCCTCCTTACCTTATACTCCTGCTTCAAGACGCCTCCTATCTTAGTCTGTTTTGTGCTGCTCTAAGAATACTGCAGACTGGGCAGTTATAATGAAAAGAAACTGTTTTGACATACGGTTCTAGAGGCTGAGAAGTCCAGTATCAGGGCACCAGCATCTGACAAGGGTCATCCCATCGTGCAAAGTGGGAAGACAAGAGCGAGCAAGAGAGGGTCAAACGTGCCTTCATAACAAACTCACTCTTAAAGTAACTAAGCCCCTCTTGAGATCACATTAGTCCAGTCCTGGGGATAGAGCCCTCCTGATCTAATCACCTCTTACTAGGCCTCACCTCCCAACACTGTTGCTGCATTGGGGTTTAAGTGTCTGTATTGGTCCATTTTCATACTGCTATGAAGAAATACCTGAAACTGGGTAGTTTATAAAGAGAAAGAGGTTTAATGGACTCACAGTTCCACGTGGCTGGGGAGTCTTCACAATCATGGCGGAAGGTGAAGGAGGAACAAAGGCATGTCTAACACTGGGCATCAGGCAAGAGTGTGTGTGCAAGGGAACTGCCCTTCGTAAAACCATCATATCTCGTGAGACTTACTCATCATGAGAGCAAGAGGCTCATAATGAGAGCAAGAGGGAAAAGACCTCCCCCCCCCCCCCGCCCGCCGCCGCTGGAGGTAATGATTCAGTTACCTCCCACTGGGTCCCACCCACAACACGTGGGGATTGTGGGAGCTACAATTCAGGATGAGATTTGGGTGGGGACACAGCCAAACCATATCCATTTCCAACATAGGAATTTTGGAGGACACACTTAAATCAGAGGACGTCCTCAGATGCCTCTCTGAGTACTGTTCTAATCCTTAACATCTACCCTGGCCTTCATTTTTACATAGTTGTGTGTGCTGATTCTGCATGTGCTTGTATGAACAGCCCCCTACGGAAGGTCTAGGGAGCCTTGCTTGTCTATGGTAAATCATTGGTTTACCATATCACTATTTAATGATTAGTTTACCACATCACTATTTAATGATTTAAATAGTCTTAGTTGCCTCATCCTATGTACCTACACATGTATTCCTTTGATCCTAATACTGGTCTCTGGGTTTAATGTACATTGGCTTAAAAATAGATTAATGAAATGCCTCAAATTTGGGTGTTTTCAATACCTTCCCTTAGTCCTGAGAAGAGGACTATTTAAGAGCAAGTCAGAAATTCCAGTTTTCATTTTCTGATTCTGTTTCTCTCCCCTATTTCCACCCCTTAATAGCTTCCACCCTCCTCATCTTTGGAAGTTGTCCCAGAAGCAGCCCAGCATAATCCAGGAGAGGAATTCACCGAAATTGCAGGTGAAGGGTCAGAATCCATCATTAAGAAAGAAACGGAAGAGAACAGTCACTGCGATGCTAACACAGAGATGCAGCAGATTCTCGCACGGGTTCGGCAGAACTTTGGTAAAATCAACGTGGTGCCTCAGTTTTCTGAGGATGACCTGGTTCCTGTAGAGGTGTCAGATCTTGAGGAAGCGCTTGACAGCTTTTCTGATGAAGAGGTGGAGGAGCAGGAGCAACAGAGAGATGCTGTGGAAGAGTCTTCCTCGGAATCCGAGGAGGAACATGTGGGAAATGACACCAAAGCTGTTATTAAAGCCCTGGATGAGAAGATCGCCAAATATCAGAAGTTTTTAGACAAAGCCAAAGCCAAAAAGTTTTCGGCAGTCAGGTAATATGTTCATCTTCTCACAAATTACAGATTGTTCATTCCTTTTCCATAAATTTGCCATGAGTACTGGAGCCGTATTTTTACATGGAGTTATTGCCATCTGGTTGGTGGGTTGGTTGGTTGGGTTTTTTGTCTGTTTTTTTGAGATGGGGTCTCACTGTGTTGCCTAGACTGGCCTCATGCTCCTGGGCTCAAGCAGTCCTCTCGTCTCAGCCTCCTAAGCAGCTGGGACTGCCGTCATGCACCACCACGCTTGGCTGTTACCCATTTTTTTAAAGTGAAGTAAATTTTGTAAACTTCCACTGCCTTCAGTATGAGAAGCTTGGTTGTCCAATCTTTTAGAAACACCAAGGAGGCACAAACATGTTGGGTGCTGACTTCTTCCGTTGGAGATAAACTACATGGATAGGAGTGGGGTGCCTTAGTCTGTTTGTCTCAGGTCTCCGGGTCAGCATGTGATTTGGACGAGTGAGAGGAATGTTACTTTGCTTTTCTGTTTCAGAATATCCAAGGGACTGAGTGAAAAGATATTTGCAAAACCTGAAGAACGAAGAAAAACACTAGAAGAAGATATAGGTGATACAGGTGAAGACAAATTATTTCTATCATTTAGATGTAATTTGCATCTTTAGAGCTTTGAGAAACCTAGTTCAGTCTCCAAATTATCTCATATAGTCATCCACATATCATACCTGGCAGATTAAATTCACATACTGTTATGCAAGTTAAATTACCTGCTTTTCATTCTGCACATCTTTTAGGATTAAATTGTCAATTCAGGAAACTTCTTAGAAAGGGTTCATTGTTAACCTTAGAATCCAAGGGTGAGTCCACAGACAAAGATGGGGCCATGTTTCCTGCATTTATCCTTTGCTCCATTTGCATCCGCTTCCACACTGAGTGTGTGGCTCGGGGCCTCCTGACCTGGAGGCCTCCCCTTGGCCTGCTTTACTCACCACGCTGCTCACCCGCCCTGTCCACATCGGGTGTCCTTCTCCTTCTGCTATGTCAAGCTTATTCCCACCATTGGGTTTATAGACAAATTTTCAGTAGAAAATTCCTGCTTTTGTATCATTTGTATCCAGCACCTTCCAAAAAGGGAAAGAAGCGGAAGGCACAAAGGGAAGAGGAACAGGAACATTCAAATAAAGCTCCCAGGGTGCTTACATCAAAAGAAGTAAGTGTTGTAGGTCTTAGTATGACCCAATTAGAGTAAATAGAAGTCCCGTTGTCAAGACCCACGGAAACAAATGGTCCAGAGCTGAATCCCAGGAGCCCCAGTCCTTGGTGACCTAGCTGAAGTCAGATAAATAGGGTCAGGGCCTGGCCCATTGGATGGAGGTCCTTGAGGAGTTTCTTTTTTTTTTTTAGACGGAGTTTCGCTCGTTACCCAGGCTGGAGTGCAATGGCACGATCTCGGCCCACCGCAATCTCCGCCTCCTGGGTTCAGGCAATTCTCCTGCCTCAGCCTCCTGAGTAGCTGGGATTACAAGCACATGCCACCATGCCCAGCTAATTTTTTGTATTTTTAGTAGAGACGGGGTTTCACCATGTTGACCAGGACGGTCTCGATCTCTTGACCTCGTGATCCACCCACCTCGGCCTCCCAAAGTGCTGGGATTACAGGCTTGAGCCACCGCTCCCGGCCGAAGAGTTTCTAATCAACATCTCCGCAGCAGTGGATTATCCTCTGAGGAGTCAGTTTGTAGTCCCAAGGGAAATGACCTGATGAGCAGATGTGCTTGGGCAGTCCGAAGGACAGCTTTAGAGCTGAGCTGTTCAGAGCTGGAGTGGGGCCTCTTGGGAGGGGAGTAGTTATCAGCAGCTCTCTCAGCCTCACTGCAGGGGACTTGTCAGGAGTGCTGCAGAAGGGATTCACGCATTGGATAAGGGTTGGACCACATGTGGATTTGTAACTCGGAGTTTCACAAGTCACATGGAAGAGTGACCGTAGGTCTATGGGGGAGCCCTCCCTCATTAGCACCGCTTCCAGTAGCTGTGGAAGCAGCACAGGAAATAGAACAGAGATGAGAAGCACAGCCTCCTATTTTGTGGATGACTTTCAGGGTTTAATCGGTTTTTTTTTTTTTTTCCTTCATCTTTTCTTGCCATTTTTTCCAGCGGAGGCGAGCAGAACGGCAGCAACGGCCGAAAAAAGTTGGTGTGCGCTACTATGAAACACACAACGTGAAAAACAGGAACAGGAACAAAAAGAAGACCAATGACACGGAGGGACAGAAACACAAACACAAAAAATTCAGATAAGAGAGTCATGTTCAAAAGGTTTTTATTAAATTATACAAAAACATGCAATTAGAAATTGTGTTCATTTTCTCCCTGCCCCGTTGGCATTTCTAAGGCCATAATGCGTTTGTTCTGAGGTTTGACAGTTGAAGCCCTTCACCAGCCTAGGGAAATAAAGCCTCTTCACCCTTAAGGATGTCAGTGATAAGAGTCTGAAAGTCTAGTACTTCAGGTAGACTATAGATGAATTTAAGAGGTTCATCCACAGTCACCCTGTCATGTAAATGTCTGACAGAAATAGGGGATGAGGTCTACAAAATGGAAAGGGTAGTATTTCTTTAGTGATAATGAACAATTTGGAATAGAAACACACAGAACTGCAGATTTCAAGGACGTTAGTGTGCGTGGCCTGGGCTTTGAAATAAGAAGCATGGTGGCTCATGCCTCTGCACTTTGGGAGGCCGAGGCGGGCAGATCACGAGGTCAGGAGTTTGAAACCAGCCTGACCAACGTGGTGAAACCCTGTCTCTACTAAAAATAGAAAAATTAGTAGGTCATGGTGGTGGGCATCTGTAATCCTAGCTACTCAGGAGGCTGAGGCAGGAGAATAGCTTGAACCTGGGAGGTCGAGGTTGCAGTGAGCTGAGATCAGCCATTGCATTCCAGCCTGGGCGACAGAATGAGACTCCATCTCAAAAAAAAAAAAAAAAACTACAGTAACTTCTGTTCCTCACTGAGTCTGTGAAGTGGACCCACGTAGGGCACGTACATTCCTGTTGTAGAATCCTGGAACTAGCAGATCTTGCGAAAAGAGTTATTTCCCATGGAAATGACAACACGGGCAGGTCATTCGAGTGGAGCCTTATAATTCCTCAGGATACTGGATCAGGGTAAAAGCTGCCCTTAGATTCCAGATGACTGTGTGTGGTGTGTACAGCTTGGGGAACACAGGATTTCTGGGGGACAACAGTGAGTCTTGACGCTCACTGGACCCAAGATGGATGGCAGATGGAAGCTCTGCTAAGGAGAGCCCCTTCTCACACCTCTCCGGGAACCTGAGAATGTTCGTGCCTTCTACGTAATGTTACTTGTGCAGCCTGACTGAAGGATGAAAGTCCTCCCGCTTACCATCCTAGCCTACCCTGGCCTGTCCTGAACTTGAGATTTATGTCACTCATTCGATCTGGGTCTACAAATCCAGGAGAGTGGAAGAGAGATACTAAAATGCAGTTGGCTAGCGGCCATAGTCCAATCATTAGTCATTAGACCTGCATGTGAGATTTGATTCCCTCTTCAGTTATGAATCAACATAACTACTTAGGGGAGTGCAGAGTCAGGGGCTGGTTTTCTGCAGGATAAAGTGAACAGATCTGTGCTGGGGGAAGAGCTCGTTGCAGACAGTTCACAAAGGCCATTATGACTGGTGTTCCTTTCTGGCAAACATTTACTAACCTAGGCAGTCTGAAACTGAGGAGGAAGGGGTCCAGTTGACTGGCAAGTGGGGGTAATACAGTACAGCAGAAAAACCAGAGCTCCAAAATGAGTTAATAGAAATGCATTCGAGTGGGGATAAAGAGACATTAAATAAGGCCAGAAGCCCAGGTTAAGGCAGAAGATGAACTGTGAACCAAACGTTTGAGGGGCAGAGCAGCCGCTTCATCTGGTCAGAAATAAGTGGTGGTATAGAATGATGATGAGAAAGCAGTGTCTTTCTTACAATCTGAGCTGGCAGATCCCAAGGCTGGCTGGCAAGCCACACCCTGAGACTAACAGGGCCACACTGTCTTCCACTGCCCAGCCAGGAGACTGGCCTGCAGGCCTTCCGTCTTTGATGACATGGGAGCAATGGTGTGACTTCTGACAAACACCTAGGTGGTTAGGGGAGGGCATGGCTTGTTCACTCAGGAAACGAGCTTTTTATTACAAAGGGCTTATGATGGGGTAGACCCATGTGGAATCTATCACTTCTTTGGTGCAATAATGCCTTCCAGTTGGGCCTGAAAAACAAAAACAAACTCCATTAATACTTGAAACTTGCAGCCTGATACAAATAGCTGAGAGGTAATAAAAGCCTCTGGGAAGAATAATTGGAGAGTGAACTCCAAGGGTTCTTTTTCCCCTTCACCCCCAAATCCGTATTTTCTAGATTAGCTAGTTTCTGGCTTGGCATACAGTTTTAGTACATGAGGAGAAGCCAGAGCTGTCCTGGCTTCCACACAGTAATGGCTCCGGGTATGATACAAAGCATTGAAAAGGATATTGAAAGCATTTTTGTAATGGCTTTCCATGGCTCAGATTTCAGGCCAGAATATGTCTGCTAAGTTAAACATTTGGCTTTCTGGTTTAGGATCCTGGGAGTTCTGCTGGGACCAGAGGTTTGGGAGACAGCAAATTGCAGCCACTGAGACAACTTGACACCTAATTATTAGAGAAATGCTGCCAAGCGAGTAGAGAGCTGTCCCTCTTTTGAGGGGTTGGGGAGGGGAATGGAGTTTCATTGTCACCCAGGCTGGAGTGCAATGGCACGATCTCAGCTCACTGCAACCTCTGCCTCCCCGGTTCAAGTGATTCTCCTGCCTCAGCCTCCCGAGTAGCTGGGATTACAGGCACACACCAACACACCTGGCTACTTTTTGTATTTTTAGTAGAAACAGGGTTTCACCATGTTGGCTAGGCTGGTCTCAAACTCCTGACCTCAGGTGATCTACCTGCCTTGGCCTCCCAAAGTGCTGGGATTACGAGCGTGAGCCACCGTGCCCAGCTGAGAGCGGGCCCTCTTTATGTAAAGCTTAAGACACTTGGGAGTTACTTACTATGATTCTCTGGCAGCCAATAAAATGATACTGGACAGATCTTTAGGAAGGTATATTTTGGGGACAGCAAAGCTGCTTTATTTGCAATGCAGCTTTAAGCCAATAAAAATAGCTCACTTCGGCCAGGCACGATGGCTCATGCCTGTAATTCCAGCACTTTGGGAGGCCCAGGCAGATGGATCACTTGAGGTCAGGAGTTCAAGACCAGCCTGGCCAACATGGTGAAACCCTATCTCCACTAAAAATATTAAAAAATTAGCCAGGGGTGGTGGCGTGCACCTATAATCCCAGCGGAGGCTGAGGCGGGAGAGTCACCTGAGCCCAGGAGGTAGAGGCTGCATTAAGCTGAGATGGTGCCACTGCAATCCAGCCTGGGCAACAGAGCAAGACTCAGTCTCAAAAAAAAAAAAAAAAAAAGAGTTCATTTCTGGCCAGATGCAGTGGTTCACACCTGTAATTCCAGCCCTTTGGGAAGCCTAGGTAGGTGAATCACGTGAGGTCAGGAGTTTAAGACCATCCTGGCCAACATGGTAAAACCCTGTCTCTACTAAAATACAAAAAATTAGTCAGGCATGATGGCACACACCTGTAATCCCAGCTACTCAGGAGGCTGAGGCAGGGGAATTGCTTGAACCCGGGAGGTGGAGGTTGCAGTGAGCTGAGATCGAGCCACTGAAAAAATCAGCTGAGCGTGGTGGGGCGCACCTGTAATCCCAGCTACTCGGGAGGCTGAGGCAGGAGAATTGCTTGAACCTGGGAGGCGGAGGTTGCAGTGAGCAGAGATCGTGTCATTGTACTCTAGCCTGGGTAACAAGCGCGAAACTCCGTCTCAAAAAAAAAAAAAGTACACTGCTAGGCCAGGTGCTGTGGCTCATGCCTATAATCCCAGCACTTTGGGAGGCTGAGGCGGGTGGGTCACAAGGTCAAAAGATCGAGATCGTCCTGACCAACATGGTGAAACCCTGTCTCTACTAAAAATACAAAAATTAGCTGGGTGTGGTGGCATGCGCCTGTAATCCCAGCTACTCAGGAAGCTGAGGCAAGAGAATCGCTTGAACCTGGGAGGCAGAGGTTGCAGTGAGCGGAGATCATATCACTGCACTCCAGCCTGGCAACAGAGCAAGACTCCGTCTCAAAATCAATCAATCAATCCTCTGCTAGCACTGGGCTTTGAGGAAGAACACCTACAGCTGGGTTCCCCGACCACATTCCTGAGGAAGGTTTCTGATTTGAAATGGTTCTTCCTCTCAAAGGGCCCTGCTGCCCACTGGCTCTGACTTCTTCCCTGGCTGTGCCCCGAAACAGTGCCTCAGAGGAGACGGGCAGTGAGACAACACTACCACACAAGCCAGCTGGAGCCCAGTGCCCTCCAGGAAGGCTCCAACATACCAGCTTCCAGGGGAAAGCAGTTCCACTTTTTGCCATCTCCACCTCTCCCCGGAGGATGGGCAGCTTTTTTCCAAGGGGAAAAATCCTCCACTGGAGAGCCAGGCTGAGGCGCCACGGGGATTTGGAGTCGAGAGTAGAGACCCCCCCCTCTGGAGTCCTCCCCTCTCCCACCACCAAAGTCAGCTTCCTTTATTCTTTGGCAGTGCATGTGGACAAACATTTCAAAGCCGTGGAAAAAGAACCGAATGCCTGGGCTGAGGAGCTGGGTCTCGGGGCGGCGAGCCCCTCCGCCCCGCGTCGATTACCTTCAGCTGCTGATTTGTCCGCTTCAGGAACTGGATCTCCTCATTGTGCTTCTTCTCCTCCACCTGCCGCCTCTCGCTCTCCCGCTTCTCGGTGGCTTCACATTTTGCCTTCTGCTCGTTCACTTGCCTCTCCAGGTCTCTCTTTTCTGTCTCCAATTCTGCAATCTAAGGACAGAATGCCCAGTCATCCTGGGATGTGGCCAGGTGGACGGAAAGGAGAGCCTGGATGGAAGCGACATGGGACACAAGGCATTGCCAGGGTATGTACTGCCACCCAGTGGGAGGTCAGTGCCTGGCATGGAGCATCCACAGCAGAGACAACTCTCCCAAGACCAGGCTGGCCATCAAACTCAGCCAAGGGTCCCTTACGGAGGTGATGCAGGTCCAGGGGTCTTGAATGTCAGGAGAGCACCTTAGGAGGCCAGCATGTAGTGCTGGAATGACAAGCACATGGCCCTGAGGTTTACAGAAGAGTCAGGGGCCCAAGGGTCCTGGCAATCCCCACTCACTTTCCTCTCCATGTCTGCCTTCCCCTGCTCGGCCTGCAGTGCCTTCCTCATGCCAAACGCCACGCTGCTCTCGTACAAGGTCTGGTAGGCAGCGATGGTCATGCGGATCTCATCCCGGACGCGCAGCAGCAGCAGCCCCCTCTCCGCACAGTTGATGGTGACCTCCCGGATCAACTCATCTTCCAATGCACACACACCAGGAGATCAGACAGGGTGCGGGGAGAGGACCTCGCTATTTCTATTGCAAACACCCTTTCTCTGGGGAAGGATATTAAGGTGTTCTTGCTTGGAGACAAAGTACAAGACCTCAGAGAAGGACCTCAGGGAGGGTCCCTTCGGTGGCCCAAAGAACCTTGCCACGCAAGGTTCACGCCTCTGAACTTGGCACTTGCGAGCAGCACAGTCAGCTAGCCTGGGTCGGCCAGGGCAGAGGGAGACAAGGTGCTCTGGTGTGTTTACAGCCCCGGACTCCCTCCCTTCTGCCCTTAGGTAAAAACTGGCTACTATTAGAAAAAAAAAAATTACTTTGGCCAGGCACGGTGGCTCATGCCTGTAATCCCACCACTTTGGGAGGCAGAGGTGGGTGGATCATGAGGTAAAGAGATCAAGGCTATCTGGCCAACATGGTGAAACCCTGTCTCTACTAAAAACACAAAAATTTGCCGGGCATGGTGGCAGGCACCTTTAGTCCCAGCTACTCAGGAGGTTGAGGCAAGAGAATCGCTTGAACCCTGGGGGCAGAGGTTGCAGTGAGCCGAGATTGCACCACTGCACTCCAGCCTGGGTGATGGGGCGAGATTGTTCCCCCACCCCCAAAAAAAGGAAAAAACTGACTTTTTCTGTTTAAAGATGGTGGCTGTTTTTTGTTTTTCTTTTTTGAGACAGGGTCTCACTCTGTCTCCCAGGCTGGAGTGCAATGGCATTATCTCGGCTCACTGCAACCTCTGCCTCCTAGGTTCAAGCGATTCTCCTGCCTCAGGCTCCCAAGTAGCTGAGGTTGCAGATGCCTGCCACCACTCCCAGCTAATTTTTTTATTTTTCGTAGAGACAGGGTTTCACCAGGTTGGCCAGGCTGGTCTCGAACTCCTGACTTCAGGTGATCCACCCGCCTCAGCCTCCCAAAGTGCTGGGACCACAGGCATAAGCCACTGTGCCCAGCCCACTGGCTGTTTTCGAGCAGCTGGGACATCCTGTGTGCCCCCTTGGCTGCAATGGTTTGGGGCTGGAAAAGCCAGGGTCTACAGCTTGCCCACCTATCTCCCCATAAATGCTGATCTGGAGAGCAAACCATAATCACACACAGATAGGGAAGCCTGCTAGACGCTGCAGCTGCCTGAGGGTTTCGAGGGGGTTTGCAGATCAGCATCCATGAAGGCCAGTGAGACTGGGCTGGGGACAGCCATTTGACACCAGCACTCAAGGAGATGCATCTTAAATCTCTCATTGTCTGTTGGTTAACAACAAATTACAAGATTTTTCTGGACCAAGGGCCAAAGAATGATGAATGGATGTAAATACTGAACATTAATCTTTCTGATTAAAAAAATAGCACATGCTTATTATAGGAATCTTTGGGGAAAAAAACAGCTGGAAGTTCTCGTCTTACTCCAAACATCTGCTAAGGAGTGAGGAACTCAAGTTGCCAAGAATACAGTGGTTGACAGCCGGAGGACTTGTAGAAGAGGCTGGGCTGGGAAGGGGAAGGGGCCATTTAGCTATTGCTGGGTGGGTCAGGCAGGGGGAGAAGAGGGGATTCCAGCATGAGGTGGGCTCCAGCTCCAGGGTACTCAGGCTTGGATCTGTGCTGAAGGTGAAGGGAAGGAAGCAGCAGAGTGTGTAGTGCCCACCCCTCACCTGGCTCACTCACCAAAACACTGTGAGTAGAGTTCCCTGCGGACAGGGCAGATGCCTGTTTCCCTGGCCTGCCGCTGCTGCAGCTTTAAGTCTAACTGTTCCTGGAGGTGCACCACATCCATCCTGGTGCTGGGGGTGCTGGACACCTGCTGGATCCATAGCTGCGTGTCTTCCACCCACTCCCTGTGGCAGACACAGCGAGGCTGAGCAAAACCCATTGACTTGAGGCTTCCTAACACATGAGGAGACAGGGCCCTTTGAGCCCCCTGCCTGAGAATCCTCCATCCCAAGGGGTGTGAGGCTCCAAAGCCACACCCACCATGCTGCCTCCACAGGGACCTTGGGAATGAGTGGGTGGTGGGCGATTTCCACTGTGGCAAGGGGCCACTGTGAAATTATCCCCCACTGTCCCATATCTTACCCTCCCAACATGTTGAAGACCGATTTATGGTTGTTGCTTGATCTGAAGAGTAGGAATTACCCACCAATTATGGGGTGGGAAAACAGGACATCACAAACCTTGTTCGAGCCAGAAAGAGGCAGATGTGTGTATCAGGGGTGGGGAGGTTCTCAAAGGTGTGTGCCTGCGTGGGCCCCCCATAACGAACCTTGTGTCGGAGGTGGCCAGGCTGTGGAATCACAGGGAGAAAGTTGGAAGGCAGAACTGCCATGGGAAAGAGGATTTGTGTCATTGGTGGGAGGGAATCAACTGACAAGTTACCCCTGTCCTTTGACCTCTATCTCAGAGGAGATGACAGTCTCTCTTTGACTGTTTCCCCTTTCCTCATAGATTTACAAACTGTGCTTGTCAACTTATGACATAAAAATAGTTGAAAAAGGCATGTCCGTGATCAAGGTGGCTGCAGAAGAAAGAGCAAGGAAAGGAGATCATGTTGGGGAAGGCTGCTCTTCTGCAGAGAATTCTCAAGGAAGGTCTCTTGGAAGAAATGACCCCGGAGCAAGACCTGAGTGAAGAAATGAAGGGTACCAAGGGAATATCAAGGGAAGAGCATCTTTGGCAGTGGAAACACCAGCTGTCAGACCCCTGTGGTGGGAGAGTGATGAGGCACTGATGCCCCTGTGGATTCAGTACAGTGAACGAGAGGCAGAATAACAGGAGGTAAGGCCAGATCTGGTATAGACCAGATCATGCCACATCTTCCAGGCCATTGTAAGGACTTTTGATTTTAGTCTGAGATGGGAAGCTACGAAAGAGTTTCTGCCAGAGACAGGCATGATCTGACTTATGACTTAGGGGCTGTATGGAGGATAGACTGTAGGAGCAGAGTGGAAGCAGCACTTCAGATAGGAGGCCGTTGCAGCCGTGCGAGTGGCCACCAGTGGCTAAGAGCAAGATGGTGGAAGCAGAGGTGGGGAAAAGTGGTTCGATTTGGGAAAGAATTTGAAGGTGGAGGCCGGGCGCGGTGGCTCAAGCCTGTAATCCCAGCACTTTGGGAGGCCGAGGCGGGTGGATCACGAGGTCGAGAGATCGAGACCATCCTGGTCAACATGGTGAAACCCCGTCTCTACTAAAAATACAAAAAATTAGCTGGGCATGGTGGCACATGCCTGTAATCCCAGCTACTCAGGAGGCTGAGGCAGGAGAATTGCCTGAACCCAGGAGGCGGAGGTTGCGGTGAGCCGAGATCGCGCCATTGCACTCCAGCCTGGGTAACAAGAGCGAAACTCCGTCTCAAAAAAAAAAAAAGAATTTGAAGGTGGAGTGAAAAGAATGTGAGGAAGGATAGGACACGTGGTGTGAGAGTGATCAAAAGGAATAAAAGGGGGCTTGAGTCCCTAGTAAAAAGGAGAAGATGAGGAATGAGCAGACAGGGGGAGGAAGAAATTGTGATTGTTCAAATATGTTGAGTTTGAGATGTCTATTAGATATCTTCATGAAGATAGTGAGGAGGTAGAAGACTATATGGCCTCGAGTTTAGTGGACAGGACAGAGCTCTCTCCTCTCCTCTGCACATTTGGGAGCCATTGGCCTATAGGTGGTATCTAAAGCCATGAGATTGGGTGAGGGCATCCAGGAAATGAGGGTAGATTGAGAAGAGGTCTCCCACCACCCTGCCAGGATCCAGCCTTAGGTAAATTCTAGGAGCTCTGTGATACCGGGAGGAAATCCCAGCCAGAAACAGAGGCAGAGTGCCTCCTCCCACACTCCCAAAATCCAGGATGCAAAAGCGGAGGCATTCTCCCAGCCACTGCTCCTACTGTCTTACCTCGGGGGTAGGATGGCATTCAAGATTTCTTCTGCCTGCTTTGTAGGATCTGGGACACAAGAAGTTGCGGGGAGCTTGGTCTTGGGTGGCTGTGGGACTGGACCTGAGGGTCCAGGCTGCTGGGGGCTGACTTTCAGTGCCCGAGCCTGAGACGAAGGCACAATTGAAGGCAGGAAATGGTTCAGGAGCTCAGCTCTACACATCCCCCACCTCCAAAATGCTCCAGGACTTCCGCACAGCCCTTCTCTCTTCCTAGCCACTTTGGATCGGTCTTCTCTGCAGAAATTATGTCACAGAGCTGAAGAAGGCTGTGAAGTCTAGTCCCAATTCAATGCTTGAACAGGTGTTCCTGGCACAGGTGCTCAGGCACGTGCTTTCACACCTCTGGTGATGGGGAAATCACTACCTCATCTATTCTTGGACCCAGGTACTCTGAAGAAGAGTGAGCCCCATCCATCTCCCTGTGACCTTCTTCCCCATCCTAAATCTGCCCTCTGGGGTCACACCCAACATCTGGGCTTACACCTAACATCTGGGCTTCCTATACAATCCTCTCACCCTCCTTCCCCGACTTCCCAATTTCTTTTACTCCCAGTCTCTGCAATCCCTGGTCCCTTGGGATTCCTGACCCTCAATGCGGGAATGTGTCTTTCCTCATCGGAGCTTAGAGGCTCTTTTGTCTCCTGAGCCGCCGTCCTTACCTTGGGGCTCCGTTTCTCCGTGTTCCGGCTCACCAGCACCGGGGTGTCGTACTTGAGCAAAGAGTCTGCGGGGGGAATCATGGCGGCGGCGGCGGGAGTAGCAGCCCAGCAGCGGCCCCCTCCAGTATGGGCCTTGTTTGTCGTCACCATGGAAACCACCCCTCACCCCTCTCTCCCGCCCCTGCGCTTCTTGGCCTGGGCGGAGCTTCAAAGTGGGGCGGGGCCTGCAGCCCACGAGTTTCACCCTGTGCCTCCCGGGCAAACCTCTGGTGCCTGGCTTCTTAGGCCTTCTACTCACCGGATCGCCCGTGTACTCTTGGAAGCAAGGGAAACGGCGGTTCGCGTGCTGATGCTGTGCCTAGCTCGCGATTTGAATGAAATGGGCAGATCACCTTTGTCGTGCCCCAATTTTGTCTGAAATACAGGAGTCATCTCCTGACTCCTCATGAAGGGTTAAGGGATAATTCCAAAGGAAGTCACCTGGAGTTCCTAGGTATTTTGAAGGTTTCTGTTTGTTTTGTTTTTTAAATTGAGATGGACTCTCGCTCTGCAGCCCAGGCTATAGTGCAGTGGTGCGATCTCGGCTCACTGCAACCTCTGCCTCCTGGGTTCAAATGATTCTCCTGCTTCAGCCTCCCGAGTACCTTGGACTACAGGGGCGCACCCCCATGCCCGGCTAACTTTTGTATTTTTAGGAGAGACAGGGTTTCACCATGTTGGCTAGGCTGGTCTTGAACTCCTGACCTCGTGATCCGCCTGCCTCACTCTCCCAAAGTGCTGGGATTATAGGCATGAGCCACTGCGCCCGGCCTAAAGTATTTTTCTAATTAAATGGAGAAATGACTATGTAGAGGCCAATAAGAAACTTCCCCTTTGCCCCCTGATGATTTGATCAAAAATCAATTCAAAGACAGATTAATTGGAGAATCAAATTTAAATACATTTGTAGTCCTTTTCTCCAATTAATCTAAAGGCAGATTAACTGGAGAAAAGGCATACAAATATATTTAAAATGTATACATGGGGAGAATCACAACATGATTACCCACCCCGAAAAGGGTTCAGAAGTTTATATACCCTCCTGATAAAACAGGTTTAGGTGGGTGAGAGGAGGCATTCTGTTCAGGGATTACTAGGGAGAATGAATGGATAAGGGGACAGAGATAAATTTGTAAATATTTTTTGTTTTATTTTGTTTTGGTTTTTTTGAAGACAAGGTCTCACTCTGTAGCCCTGGCTGGAGTGCAGTGATGAGATCATGGCTCACTACAGCCTCCAACTCCTGGGCTCAAGCGATCCCCCTGTCTCTGCTGGAACCACAGGTTCGAGCCAACAGTCCCTGACAATTTTTTTATAGAGACAGAGTCTTGCTATGTTGGGCAGGTTGATCTCGAACTCCTGACTTCAAACGATTTTCCTGTCTTGGCCTCCTAAAGCATTGGAATTACAGGCTGCTGCCACTGTGCTCAGCTGTAAATAGCTCTTTTTGACAGTATAAGGGTCTCTGGTCAGGTGTGATTATATTATTGGTAGGAAAAGAAAGAAACAATTATTCCTTTTGGTAGTCTGGATGTTAGACAGATAAAAACGGTGGGTTCGAGGAAAGAACATGGAAGCTTCTTCAGTTCAGCAAATCGATGTGCCTTATTTTGGGGTTTCGGTTTCTAAGCCCCAAGAGCATTGCAGAAAGTTTAGGAAACAGAAGAGGAAAGCTAATGATTTGACCTCATCTCTGATTGCATTTCCATTTCTTTCTCCCTTCTATTTCCAAATGTAAATGTAATTACAGTTTATGCACAATTTTGTATCCTGCTTTACAGTTAACAAGTCTTTTAAAGTTTGTAAATGGTTTACTAATGGCCACATAACACCCATTAATTTGGCTAACTGCCCTACTGCTGAGCATTTACGTTGCTCCAAGTTTTGTAATTACTAATAACGTGGCAACAAACAGCCTTGAGAGGTTTGCTTTTTTCCAGGTTTTTTTTTTTTTTTTTTTTTTTTTTGTGGTATCTCTGTCGCCCAGGCTGAAGTGCAGTGGTGCAATCCCCGCTCACTGCAACCTAAACCTCCCGGGTTCAAGCGATTCTCTTGCCTCAGTCTCCCAAATAGCTGGGATCATAGGTGTGCGCCGCCACACCAGGCTAATTTTTGTATTTTTAGTAGAGACAGGGTTTCGCTGTGTTGGCCAGGCTGGTCTTGCACTCCCGACCTCAAGTGATCCGCCTGTGCTGGCATTACACATCACGAAAGTGCTGGCATTACAAGTGTGAGCCACCGCGCCCAGCCCTGCTTTTTTAAATATATATAATTTTTTTTAACATAAAAAATTTTTTAACATTAAAGACAGGGTTTCACCATGTTGGTCAGGCTGGTCTTGAACTCCCGATCTCAGGTGATCCGCCCTCCTTGGCCTCCAAAGTGCTTGGATTACAGGCATGAGCCACCAAGCCTGGCCAAAGAATACTTTTTTTTTTTTTTTTTTTGAGACAGAGTGTGGCTCTGTCGCCCAATCTCGGTTCACTGCAACCTCTGCCTCCCAGGTTTAAGCGATTCTCCTGCCTCAGCCTCCTGAGTAGCTGGGACTACAGGTGTGTGCCACCGCGCGCGGCTAATTTTTGTATCTTTAGTAGAGACGGGGTTTCACTATGTTGGTCAGGCTGGTCTTGAACTCCTGACCTTGTGATCCACCCACCTCAGCCTCCTAAATCCTAGGATTACAGCCACCACACCTAGCCCTTTTTTTTTTTTTTTTTTTTTTTTTTTTTTTTTTTTTTTTTTTTTGAGACGGTTTCATTCTTGTAGCCCAGACTGGAGTGCAGTGACGCAATCAGCTCACTGCAACCTCCGCCCGGGTTCATGCGATCCTCCTGCCTCAGCCTCCCGAGTAGCTGAGATTACAGGTGCACGCCCCCACGCCCACTAATTGTTTTGTATCATTAGTAGAGACTGGGTTTCACCGTGTTGGCCAGGATGGTCTCGCCTGACCTTAGGTGATCCGCCAGCCTCGGCCTCCCAAAGTGCTGTGATTACAGGCGTGAGCCACCGCGCCAGGCCAGAAGTTTGTTTTTGAAAACTGAAACTCCCGCCACCCAATCTGGTCAATGACCACGCTCACTAGGGAGTCGTCACCTGTTTCATCTCTCAGCCGCGAAGATTTCTGGGAGCCGGGGCATCCCGGAAGCGGAAACCAGGAGTCAAACTCGTCATTTCCTTCAGCTAGAGGAGCTCAACGGATCTGTTTTCTTTCGCTCAGGCAAAATCACAGAATGAAGGCGGTGAAGAGCGAACGGGAGCGAGGGAGCCGGCGAAGACACCGGGACGGGGACGTGGTGCTGCCGGCGACGGTGGTGGTGAAGCAGGAGCGTCTCAGCCCGGAAGCCGCACCTCCCGCCCACCGTCGTCCGGACCACTCCGGCGGTAGCCCGTCCCCGCCGGCCAGCGAGCCGGGCCGCCCGGGCCACCGTGGGAACAGAGCCCGAGGAGTTAGCCGGTAAGTGGGGGAGCAGTCCAGGATGGACCTTGGGTTGGGCTCATTCAGAAGGGCGGGCAGGGCTAGCGTCCGAAACAGGTTTTGAATGCTGGGCGCAGCCCGCCGGGACCTGATCCTGAGGCGGTGGAGAGTGATCCAGTCGTGCCTGTGTTATGCTTGCTCTGTCACTTGCATTATAGCTCGGTTTTCAACGCCTAATGCCTAACCGGCAGCAGACCGCCCCTCCGTTCTTGTGTCCCCAGCACTTTGCAAAATGTGGCCCAGCAGATAGCGCTGATAATCTGTTAAATTGGAATGAGATTTTCCTCATCCCGAATGGAGTCCGGGCGTTGTCTTTACAATTACCTGCCCAAAAGGTTTTCACGTCTACAGAAACTAAAAAAAAAAAAAAAAAAGTTACTTCACACTGATTTATGTGTTCATTCAGCATAGTTTTACTGAGTGCCTGTTAAGTGTTAAAGACTGCCCTAGGTTTTGGGGCTGCAAGGGCGATTCAGTTAGATAGTCTTCACCGTTTCCAAATCTAGCCCTGAGACAGACAATAACAAGAAATAAATAAAATAGTTTCAGTTAGTAGCAAGTATTATTGACAGGTTAAAACAGTAATGCGATAGTGAGAGATTGGAGAGGCTTCTTCTCTCCAAAGAGGTGCCCTTTGAACTGTGACCTGACTGATAGAAATGATCCAGCCTCTGAAAGATCCAGGCAGAGGAAACAACATGTGCAAAGCGCTTGAAGTAGAATGAATCATGACTGAAGTGGAGTATAGGGGTCAAGCAGGTGGATGGTAGGAATGAGATGGTATAGGGAGGAAGTAGAACCACAGGATGGATGGATTGTTAGTGACGATAGGGATGTTGGTGGTGAGGGGTAAAGAGTCAAATGTGACTTCTGGATGGTGATACCAATTAACAAGATGGCAAAGCGTAGGAGAGAAAAGGTTTTTGAAGGCTTGGGAATTAAGAGCTGTGTTATCTAAGTGAGAAGGTTCAGTAAAGAGTTGTCTTTATGAGTATGGAATGCAAGGGAGATGTTAGGGCTGGGAAAGTGAACCTCGTGACTTTAATGTGTCTGGCAGAGACCTTCACAAATGTGTTTGTGTTCGTAGGTAAACCTGATACTGGAAGCTAATTTTTATGGGGGAAGGGAAATTGAGTAAAATCCTATATGTACCATGCCCTGTATAGGTCCCCACCCAAAAAGAAAAACAAGTCCTCAGGAAGAAGAAGCAAGTCTCCTCGGAGTAAGAGGACCCGAAGTCCTCACCACTCAACAGTCAAAGTGAAGCAGGTAAGTGGATTGGGGTGTTCTGATGTTGGGGCCACATTGAGAGCCTTTTCCTGTCATAGCTAGAGAGGGCTGTGTATGTGTGTGTGGGGTGTGTGTGTGTGTGTGTGTGCACTCCTGCGCACACGCACTCGCCTACATTTCTACCTGTACTTCCGATGGGCTTTTCTGAAAACTGGGTGTATTTCTTTTTTTCTGCTTGTTTGTTGAAATTCACCTTTTTATTTTGAGATTATTGTTGGTTCACATGTGGTTGTCAGAAATAATTCAGAGATATACTCTGCTTGATTTCTCCCAGTGGTAACATCTATTCATAACAGAACTGTGGTACAACATCACCATCAGAATATTGACATCAATATAGTCAAGGTAAC